AGGGACATATAGTTGCCTGAGAAACTCATATCTCTAATAATGAGTTGTGTTTCTACTTGTACTATGAATGTGCTATGGAATGGTGCTACAACAAAAGAATTTATACCATCTTGAGGGCTTCGACAAGGGGATCCACTTTCTCCATATCTCTTTCTCTTGTGTGTAGAAAGACTTGCAGAGATGATTAAGTTCGCAGTGGACCAGAATGCTTGGAAGCCAATATACCTAAAGAGGACTTGTCCTCCCATATCACATTTGTTTTTTGCTGATGATATTCTCTTATTTGCAGAGGCTTCCGTTGAACAAGCTGATATCATGTCCAGGATTTTTGATTGTTTTTGTGCTTCTTCCGGCCAGAAAATCAGTCATGAAAAAACACGTGTTTATTTTTCCAAGAATGTGAACCATGTTAGAGCAAAGGAGGTGTGTGATGCTCTGGGTTTTAATGTAACAGCTGACTTGGGCAGATATCTTGGAGTTCCTATTCATCATCGTCGTGTTGGAAGGAATACTTTTAACTACGTGCTTGACAAGTTGAGGAATAGATTGTCTAACTGGACTCGATCCTCTTTGTCTTTGGCAGGAAGGGTAACTCTTGCAAAAGCTGTTATTACAACCATTCCCATGTACTCGATGCAGACTAACCTTATTCTGGTGTCCACTTGTGAGGAGATTGAAAAAATAACAAGAAACTTTGTTTGGGGTTCTTCAGCAGAAAATAAAAAACCTCATCTTGTTGCTTGGTGCCGTGTTTGTCAGCCTAAGGAGCTTGGGGGTTTGGGGATAAGAAGTATGCGTGAAACTAATAAAGCTTTTCTTATGAAAATTGGGCATGGCTTATTAACGCATAAAGAAACTCTCTGGGCAAGGGTGCTTCATTCTAAATATAATATGGATGATAGCTTGATGCCTGCGATTTCAAGGCCGCAGCAATCTTCAAACTTATGGAAGGGGATTGTAAAGGTTTGGGATAGCATTTTAGATTGTTCTTCAATTCAATTAGGAAATGGGAAGCAAGTTAAATTCTGGTCTGATTGTTGAGTTCCTGGTTTTGGTCCGCTTGAAGCTTTGGCCATTAGACCGGTCAGTCAAGATGAACGTGACCTAATGGTAGCTAGTTTTGTGACACCAGGAGGAGTTTGGAATTGGGATGTTTTTGCACATTTACTTCCTATAGAGGTTAATCACTGAATTGCAGATATCATGGTCTCATATTCTATAGATCATGATGATAAAGTTATATGGAATAAGACAGGAGATGTGTGCTTTTCTGTTAAGACGGCTTACAGATTTCTCATAACAACACATGTGGATAATCAAGGGCAGCAGTGGAGTAGAATTTGGAGATGGGGTGGACCACCTCGTATCAGAACTTTTGTTTGGTTGATGATGGGGAATAGATTAATGACAAATGCTATGAGAGTTGATAAGTATATGGCTGATTCTGACATATGTCCACGGTGTGAGGCGCAACGTGAGGATGTTATACATGCAATAAGGGATTGTCCTATAGTGATACAAATTTGGAGAGCTTTTGTTCATCCCCAACAATGGGGGAATTTTTTATTTTCTAATCTGTCTCAATGGATGTTATGTAATCTTTCTGGTAATGCAGGTTGCTCGAATGCTTATGAGTGGCCTTTGGTGTTTGGTGTAGCTGCTTGGCATATTTGGAAAGATCGTAACCTTATTGTATTTCAAGATAAAAAGATCTCTACATCTATTAGTGTTACCATCTCAAAGGTGTGTTGCTATGTGCAGAGTATTGTAGAATCTAATTTAGGCTTACATAATGGTGGGTTAAGTTCTTTTCGGGTTCCTAAGCGTATGATAAAGTGGGAACCCCCTCCACATGGTTGGGTCAAGTTAAATATAGATGGTGCAAAGGCCAGCAATAGGGGAAGTACATCTTGCGGAGGAGTGATCAGAAATAGTGATGGAATATGGCAGTTAGGCTTTACTAAGAGGTTGGGGTATGGAACTATTCTTCGGGCTGAGCTTTGGGGTGCTTATATGGGTCTTCAGTTGGCTTGAGAGAAAGGTTATAAAAATATTTATCTTGAAGGTGATTCCACAGATGCATTACAATTGTTTTCAGAATTGTGAAGAAGGGCATCCATTATTGCATTTAGTCGAAAAAATTAAGGAACTTCTTAGTTGGCCTTGGGTGGTTAGAGTTCAACATGTTCTAAGGGAAGGTAATCAAGTTGCTGACTGGCTTGCGAAGAAACATAGTTCGCTTAAAGGGGAAATGCAGACGTTTATAATCCACCTTTAGGATGTAGTTTACTGGTTCGAAATGATCAGAGGGGGGTAGCCTACCCCAGGTTTGCTTAATTCTGTTTGTTTGTGTTTATTTTCTGATGTATTTCCAAAAAAAAAAAAAAGTATTAATACCATTACTCATTTATTTTATTAAGTCAATGACATTTGCATTATTAAGAGAAAGACAAAAGCAATGACGGACAAGCAATCGTCAATTTCAGGAGTAAACTTATAGTGAGCACTTTGTGATTATCAATAAATGAGTTGAGAAGTGTAGGGAGATAATTTTGAAGATAGAAGAGAAGAAGAATTTTTAATGTTTATAAAAAAAATTTATTAAAAATGTAAATATCCCAATACAGCAATACTTAACACTTTGAATATGTTAATCTCCACCCTAGTATTATATTACTTATTTAAGGTCGGAGAGGGGGAATATTATTAGTAATCCCGAACCTCTCACTATCTAGTGACCAAAGGTGCTACTAAATTAACAAATACTTTTTCTTTTTTCCTTTCCATTTTGAGCAAAAATAATGATAGTTCACTTCATAATATATATATTTTTCCAACGACCTTAACTACTTTTTTGATCTGAGTTAAGAGCATTTTTGGATGAGCTTTTTTTTTCTTCAAAAGCTGCTTTTTTTAAGAAAAAAAAAATACTTTTCTAAAAAAATCTATTTGAATGTTTGCTTTTAAAAAAAATAAAAGTCATAAAAAAAGTCAAAAAAAAAAGAAGTCAAAAGTCAAATATTTTTTTAAAAAATCAAATATTTTTTAAAAAGTCTAAATAGCTGTAGCATTTATAAAAAGTACTTTTAAAATAAGAAAGTCATAAAAAGAATTTTTTTGATAAGTCAATACAAACAGGCTCTAAGTCTTTTGGATAATTTTATAACCCAAGTGAAGAAAGAAATCCCATATAAATATAGAACTAATCTCGAGCCAAATAACATGATAATTGTCGAGTTCTCACCTAAGGTCGAAACCTATTGTTTTTTAAGTCATTTGAGTCCACCATGAAAATACATATTAAAGCTTGAGTCATTTACGAGGGTTTACGTGTTTTCTATTTTAACACTAAAAAAAAAAATACTCACGCACACTTAACACTAAAATATGTTTTTTTTTTATGTTTTACTCATTATAAAATATATATATATATACGTTTTACTGTTCAAATAAAATTATGGTTGCAAGAGAATCCAGAAAAACTGGAACAAAAAGTGGCCCAACCAATGTGACTTGTGGCCCGAATCCTGACCAATTGGCTATTTATACTCCACAAATTCATACATCTCAAAATCGTGGATGTCAAAGTCAAAGGAAACTTGGTTTATTCTATTCTAAAAGAAAAAAGCGTGTATCATTTTAAAGGGTGTAAAATTATGTCATTTTAAGAGAGAGAAAAAGATAAATAAAAAAGAAGAGAGAGTTGACAAAAAAAAATAAAGATGTGGGTCTCATTTTTTTGTGAGAATGAAATAATATAAATTATATCATTTAAAAAGATAAACATTTTTTTTATTCTAAAAAGGTGCCAAAGTGAATAGTAAATTTGAAGATAATTATTGAAGAGTCTTTATCACACCGGGGGGGGGGGGGGGATTTGTTATAGGGTAATACTTCTCTTATATTGCATAAGAGAAGTATTATCTCATGCTCAAACAATAGTTAGGAGAGAAAAAAAAATTGAAGGTGAGAGAAAAAATCTTGTGGGACCCATTTGAAAAATATGAGTGTAGGAAATAAATTTTTTTTTATGTAACATAAGAAAAGTAATTCCTTTGTTATACTCTATTATGTATCTATATTTTAATTATATCAAATATTTAACAATTTTTGTATTTAAACTTTAAATATTATAAAAATAAAAAGGTAAGATTTTAATTGTTTAGTAAACTTTCGTTTGTTTAGGAGCATTTTAAAATGAAGGGGAGAAACTGTTATATTATCCTGTAATACTCTAAAATATCCCCTATTAATTTTTATGAAAATTTTGAAACTTTCCTAATCTGAAAATAGAAAATCCTTCCACGATTTTTTCAATTACCCTCTGTCCAAATATAACCGTTTAGTCTAAATATATAGATGAGGTGGGTCTCACTCGTTATTGAAATTTAAATCGTGGTTTAAAGTTTTGTAATTTTAATATTTCATTCAGTAACAAGGATATCTTATTCCATCTGTCTGTTTTAATACGGTTAGATCATAATCTTAAGATAAGAGAAAAATAATAAAAATTACTTGAGATTCTGATCTAACAATATTTAAAATTGATAAATAATATAATAATAAAGAAAATAAATTATAATAATATATTTCTACTAATAATAATAAGTGATAAAAAAAAAGGTTACATTTATCTAATTTTACATGAGATAAACAATTTTTCTATACACACAAAAAAATTGGATTTCACTACTCTTTTTTCTCTCTTCTCTTACCTATGAGTCTCACTTATAATTTTATTTTTACAATATAAAATAATTTTTTTTCTACAACATAAGAAAAATATTTCCTTAAAAACAAATTTGAGGTATATAAATAGGGAAAGAAAAAAAAACGACAAACTTACAGTGTAATTGTAAATATCGACAGAAAAAGTACACTAACAGCTTCCCTTTCTCGAAGGAAACGCTCCTTGATTCCCAAGCCACCAAGAGAGAAAGTTTAGAATCGTGTCACTCGTTCTCCTCTTATTTTTCTATCTATAAATACAACTACCATCAAAGGCAGTTGCTATGACAAAAGTTAGATACTCTTCAGGGTCTCCTCCATTTAGTTATTACCTTAAAAAAACCTTTTCTTTCATCAAACACTTTGCAACATTTCATGGCTGGTCTTCAACAATACAACTTCTTCCCAACAGATTTGTTCTACCCTCGTCCTAAACCACAAACATCTTCTGTTAAGCCCACAGTTCTTCCACTCCAAACCCCAAATGTTGAAGATGTTCATCCCCAGACTCAGCATCAGCAACAACAACCACATAGGAGCATGATCAAAGCTACCCCTTCTTCTTCTTCTTCTTCTTCTTCTGCTGTGGTTTATAGTCAGAAGAGACAATCACAATCTCTTGGTGGGGTTAAGGTATCCAAATTCTCCCCAAACCCTCTTTCCTGGGTGGTTTGGATGACTGAAGACGAGGAATGAAATTAAATTAAATTAAATGAAATGACCTTTTCATGTTTTCAACTCTGTAAATTATTTAAGGGTCTAACCCCTCTCTTTTTTTTCATGCTTTTTCTCTACTTTCCAGGCTTAGATTCTCTTCTTTAACCCTTCTTTTCAATAGTTCTTTTTTTATGAATATTTGAGTTAGTTTACACTACAGAGTGGGAAAGGTCTTACTCATAGAAGATGAAAATCAATAAAATTGAAGCTTGTGATGTTCTTCATTTCTCTGCCTCCTCTGGCAAACAAAATTTTATGAATTTTATTGGACATAATCGACTTGTTGATATAAAATAATTGGGTTTTGCATAACGTGAAAGGTAACGAAGTTCCTATAAACAAAACCGATGCTTATGAAGAAAAATTGTTCGATTCTATGCTGGCTTCTAAGTTTCAATAATCTTCGTTACAAGTTTATATACACCAAAAGACAAAAAAAAAAAACTAAATCATAAGAGTACTATAGAAAATTGGGTACAACGAATGTGCACAAAATCAAACTGAAAATTGAGAAGTGTCCATAAGTCAAAAAAAGTGTGAAATTAAATAAAAAGGACAAAGTCAAGATCGGTTTGCCTCCGCCATCACTTTACCCCGTTCTAGAATAAATAATAATCAAATCTTCCATCAATTAAATATTTACAAATAAAAAAAAAACAAAAAAACATGTAAATTGAAAGAAGAAAGTAAAAGCAAAACAAAAATCAACGTGGTAGAACATGGCTTGGCGAGCCTCACGGCGTGCAACATACGCAGAGGAATGCGAATATCCCGCGAATATGCTTCCATGACCTTAATAATTCCAACTTTACATTGTAGCTCTTTATGCACGTGTTAGTTGAACAGTTAAATTATTTTATCTTCATTTTTTTTAGGTGGAAAACGAATTTGTGAAAGTCTTGCGGAGTGAGATTCCTTTCTAGAAAAAATAAAAGATTAAACACCTTTTTTAGTTCCTGTCAATATCTACGAAGTTCTTTTTAGTCCCTGGCAATAAAAAAGGATCAAATTGGTCCCTGAAATTACAAAAAAAAGGGTCATATTAGTCCTTATGTCAACTCCCAAATATGTAGAGTGGCCCTTTTCTTGTACTTTCAGGGACCAAATTGGTCCTTTTTTATTGCCGGGGACTAAAAAGGACTTCGTAGATATTGTCAGGGACTAAAAAGGATGTTTACTCAAAATAAAAATTAGCATCCAATATAATATACTGCGCCGTTTATACAAAGAATATGCTTCAGTGTTAAATAAAGAATATGCTCTACTAACCGAGTAAACCGAAAAAAAATAATCTATTTGGCTTATCAAAATAACTTTTATTTAATTATTTTATAGACATGCAGATGCAGGCATCTTGTATATAGATATTGAATTGATACAAAAATTAGAACATTTTAATATAAACTATTATTCATAAAGTAGAATATTGTATTATGTAAATTTTATATAATCTCTATCCACCAAAAAAAAATTATATAATCTCTACCCGAGCAGTTCTGTGAAATAACAAATTAGAACAACCATATTGATACAGGGTTCGTCGGTTCTTCTTTCACTGTTGATGAGAAAAGTTGTAGCAAATTTTTAACATTAAGATCCTGGCCTAAAAAAAAATATTAAGATCCACACGCGTATTCTAATAAAAATAAATGTTGTTGCACTTTTTCTCATCTGCAATAAGATGAGAGCTACATATCTCATTCATATATGCCTGAGTATTATTAATTGATTATAGTTTGTAGTGTTGGAAGAGAAAGAACGAAGGAGGACCATGAATTATGCTAAAATATCTTGCATGTGATTATGGGTGAGGGTAGTTAGCATTAGGCGGTACTGTGCCACCTACCTAACAAAACCAAAATTCGGTGCATCCGCGTAGCACTAAAAATATTCTCCAATTCATGTGAAGCAAATCATGGGTGAAAGGCGAACCTACCTTTCCAATTTCCGTTGGGTCTGTCTACTTATCACGCATAAAAAAAAGTACAAATATTTTGCTTGCGAATGACGCATGCTATGGGACCTCACTTAATTAAATGTTATATTAAGTGAATTATGATGTAGAAAAAAAAATTATATGCTATATTTAAAGGAAGTCGTGACGGCTCTTTGCCGTGCAAGAGGGTAGCACATTCCTTGATAAAGTTTCTAAAATTACTTTTGAATTTTGTTAATTTGCGTACTTAAGCACTTGTCAATATTAAAAACAATATTTACTACTTTTTTAAATTATTTATTTTTAAAAGTATTAAATACATTTAAAAATATTAAGATATGAAATGCTTATATATATTATTTTTTGATAAATCACATATGCTCTCATGGGAAATAATTTTATTTAGAGCGGATCCAGAATTAAATCTTTAAATCTCTGACAAAAATAATACGGGAGAAAAATCGAATACATATTCTCACCACTAATAGAAATTGTAAAGCTAAAACATAGCAACAACCAATGACATTATCTCTAACCAACTAACACTAAATAACTCAAAATAACTAACAATTATCTCTTACTACATGCAATTACTCCCCACTACTTATGTACTTATCTTCATTTGAAACCAGTCAACAAACAAATTCCTAACAAAATTCTTCCTCAATATCGAATTCTTGTGTTTGTGTATATTGAATGTGAGTATGTGACAAAGATCGCAAATAAAATAAAATAAAAATCATTCTCTAAAACAAAAGATAATGTAAAATGAATGGAGTAATAATAACTTTAGGAAAAGAGAGAAAATAAAAGGGGAAACATGGGAAAAAATTAGCCACTTACACACTCGTAGACATTCCCATTCCTTCAAAATGCATCAACCACACATTATTGAATTTTGATGATATGTTTTCTGCTTTAATTTGATTACAAACTGAATAAATTGTGATCTAAGCTACAAAATATATATAAGAACAAACTTACAAATTCAGTGAAAGTTAAGTAAACCTAGCTATACTAATAAAATATATAGTAAAAGACTCTCTTAATCAGCATTGTATAGTTAAAATCAGCTCAACTTTGCAACATTTCGTTTTGAACTTTCAACTCCAAAACTAGAATCTCATTTAGTTAATTCCTTTACCATGCTTAGAAGTCTGTCATCATAATTGGGGTTAAAAACAACAAAACCAATTCTCCAAAAAAGAATTAACTTTTTGTGCAAGACTCAGAAGTAATCTTGGAGTAGCTTGTTGTGGAGAATCAATTTTTGATAGTGGATTTTGTTATTATTTTTTCACCAAATAAATGAGTAGCCAAAAAAAGGTAACAATTCCTTCTTTTTTTCACATTTTCCTTTGCATGAGTAGTTTCATAAAAGAGTATAATATTTCTGCCGTTAATGCAGATAAATTATCTACATTTACTCCCAAAATAATATCGTTTTTAAATTGAAAAATTAAATAATTATAACTATAAAGACTATAATAACTCTGAAATAAATTAAATTACAAAAACATCATGATTTTCGTCCCAAAACGACATCGTATTAATCTTACTGCAGATAACTTATCTGCAGCAACTACAGAAAAAGCGAACCCTTCATAAAAATATATTTGTATATGTAATAGTTTTTCAAAAATGAAAAATAAGCTTTTATCGAATCGAATTTCATTCCAATGACTTTACAAGTGAATTTTACCCTCTTATAACTTAAAAGATGGCTTTTTGACCATTGTGCCCCTAATTAAATTAAAAAATATCACTCTGCCGTTGTTCCAAAATATTTCACTTATCTGTCCTAACCGCTGACTAAGCTATGTACTCGAGTACACGACCCTTATAATAGAGTATATTGTGTGGAACAGTAAATACTCGAATACAAGATCCTGATACTCGAGTATGGTTTGTCATCTGATTTTTATGAACATTTACTTGAGTATAGAATCTTGATACTCACGTATGGAACCATATACTTGAGTATATGGGTCATGTACTCGAGTAAATGGTGACCAAATCCCCTGCGAGAATCTATCAACGCGTGGCTCTCGAAAGTTATGCGAAATAAAAAAATATATATTTAATTTAAACATCCGAGTCAAAAGTTATGGTCTTCTGAAATTTTATGATAAAAAGAATTTCCATGAGATTTTTTTTGGATCAAACAAGTTTCTATAGTCATATACTCATAATATTTGACTTGACTCAGGTGATTTGAGGAGAAGCTTTGTGGGTATCACAACAAAACGTATTTTACATTACAAAATTTTAGAAATTTTACAGTAAAACTTCGAAAGGCTATAAGTTTTGACTTGGGTGTCCGAATCAGGTGCTTTTTTTTTTATTTCGCATAACTTTTCGAGATCTACGTGTTGGCAAATTCTTGTAGTGCATTTAGTACTATATACTAGAGTATACTCATGACACTTGATTTACTCAGGTACATTGATCACGTACTCGAGTATGAAGGCCAATCAACAGTTAAGTTAAACATGAGCATATTGATGTTATGTTTCCGAGAAAAGTCGTATTTTTTAAATAGTTTAAAAATAGGGACAAAATAATATTTTTTTAAATTTAATTAGGGGCACAATGGTGAAAAAGCTAGAAGACCCAAAACTCAACAGTGCATCATTTGACTCAAAAACAAAATGAAAGGTGGGGTAAGTTAACAAAAGAATGCAGCAAGAAGGACATATAAAAAGTTGCATTTCTGCTGCAGAAACATTGTTTTCTTCGTCGTGTGGAATTTATAGGTTCGCTTTGCCTCTGCCATGTAACTTAACTAAAAGGGTTTATATTCATCATGCAACATCATACAATCATTTTTCCTATACACACAATATTTTGTGGGACCCGTATTTTTTGAAGCAAAAAAAAAAACTAAGGCACGGAAAACGAATTTCTATAACATGACACAATCACTTTTCCTACAACATAATTTTTATAAAACTCTTAACTAAATACACAAAACTAGCATCTACTAATATCCAATATATTAATATTAAAATGCATTGTATAACTTCCTTGTGCCTTGTATACCTATTTCTAGGAAGGAATATCATTCCTTAAGGCAGAATCTGAAAGCACACAAAGACAAACATAATTATAAATTAAGGTAATTTTTATCTTGTAGTTACATAGTGCTTGTACATGGAATGGTAAGAGACTTGATGGGGAATGTTACTACAACTTTTAGGGGCATTTGGGTCCTCCCCTTTTGGTCTTCCAGTTGTTGTAGCAAGGGCAAACCTGTTTGTTGCCATAAGTTCCAGGAGGCACACACAAGCACTTAGCACAGCACTTTTGGCAGAAGAACATGCACGGCTTCTTGTACTGTGTATTTGAGCATCTGTTTGTGCAACGTGGACCACATTCTGCAGTTTCATGCATTCACCAACATGGACCAATGTTAATTTCATCATCAAAATTTTATTACAATTACAAATGAAAAAGAAAAATGGAAAGAAAGAGGGAAGAGAAGGGAGAATTTTTGAAAATTTTAAGTCAATCCAAGATGTTATACTTGAAGAAATCTGATAAATGACTAGTGAATTAACTTACATAACCTGTTGTGTGACAACTAGTTAGACTTTAAGGAAAAAGCTCTTTTTGCACTTGTTAAATGTGAATATGTCATGGAAGCCACTTTAATCAGATAACATGTTCTTAATTATTACCTTGTGGTTGAAGACTGCCTTCAGTGATGCCTTGCTGAAACTCAGAAATAGAATGAAATTAACATAAAAAGAAATTGGCATAGTATACATCTGAGAGGATTGTTAGTTGCAAAGTAAGATATATGCAAAATTGCCCATATCAAAACATAATCCATGAAAATTCTCAACATTGTACCCAAAAGAAGAAGGAAGAAGAGGGGGGGAACTCACATTGGGAAAGTGGGTTGTGTTTATATTAGGCTGGGGAGCTGGAGCCTCAGTGGTGGACACAAGAATCTCAGCCTGAAAACATAGTTATCATGGTGTGTTACATATATATAATTTATAGGTACAATAAAAAATGGTGCAAAGAAATCATGTACATGATTTACATATATAAAGCCAAGCCATCATTAAGGAGAATGAAAAGCACAATTATTTGAGATACTCATATTTGAAGTCAGAAAGAAAAAGCATGCCAGGGGAATGTAGTAGCAAAACAACAAACAAAGAAAAGAAGTGGTATTATTCTTTACAGCTAATGCTAAGCTTCAACACCATTCCCTACACACATGATCATTTTGTTGCCATTGCTAGTCAAAACAAACCAGATTAACAAACCAAACTATAATGTGGCATCTGGTGCCACGTTAACTTCAACTTGAAACAACAAAACGATCTCTTATAGCAAAAATAAATAAATAAATAAATTTCAAGTGGTAGCACCAATGCTAAGCTTGAAGTTAGAAGAAAATGAGAAAGAGAACTATAGGATTTATTTTGGCTTACATGGTTTTCTACTAGAAGAACCAGCATTACAACTAGGCAGAGTGTAAGGATGCTTAGTTTTCTCGCCATTGCTGAAAATGACCCTCACACAAAGAAACTGAGAGAGACTGAAACAAAGAGAAGTTATCTCAAGTGTGGTCTTCAAGAACTAGTGAGTATAAGCAGATGAGATTTCAGTCTATTTTATAGATGAAATGTGACACTATGTAACTACGTTAGCTATTGTTTTAGATAGCAAAACGCCAAACTTTGTCTTCACAAAAAGACAAATCACAAAGACAATTATTTATGAAATGAGTGATGATTTACAACTTCTTACCGTAGTTTATCAAACCAGTTTCCCTTCTCAAATGAATGTACAAATAGCATGAAGTTGGAAAAGTTATCTCAGTACATTTACAATTGTTTCTAATTAAAGTTGAATCATTATGAAATGACAGCCAAAAAATGAGAATGAACTCATGTCATAAAACATTTTTAAAGCTAGTGACATTAACTAAAAAGGTGAAGCCATAGCTTAAAACAAGGGGATTAAATGAAATATAAGAAGAAATAAAAGAAGCCTACTAAATAATTGTTCAGTCTTAAAACTAGGGGCTGATGGAGTTTGTTCATGTGACTTGGTAGCATGAAAAGGACATGTGGCCATCTCACATGTGAATTCCCATGTGATTTCCCAATGCCCCCTCAGAGTAACTAACATAAGAGAGCGACAGAAGAACTAGGAAACACCTTACACTAACCTCTCATCCTCACTATGCCTTGTCTTTTATATAGACCAAGCAGTATGGGAACCTTTCTGAGTAATCAAAAGCATTCCCGTGAACTAATTTATACATTTATTCTTTCTTTTTTTCCCCTTTAATCTTGCAGATGCACCTATTATTTGGCTGGTTTATATGAAAAGTGACCTTCACTTTTCACAGTAATACCCTTTCAACTGTGGAATCACACACAATGATGGTAGTTCAATTGACGTATGGGAACTGAGCAGATGAGGCTGAGCAGATGAGAGTGAAAGTATGTGTTTGATTCTTCTCAGTACTATCTTTGTGAGAGATTTAAAACCTTAATATTAAACCCCCGAACAGAATTGTCTCCCGTGAAGGATACATGTGATTTATCAAAAAAAAAAAAAAACTGTGGAATCACACAAACATATACTTTGAAAATTAAGCATCTTTTGTTATAGACAGATAGATGTTTATTAAGTTATTCTTAGTATATCATGCAGTACTCGCCAACTGAATTAAGTCAATTAACACGTTTTGATTATTTAGTGATACTATTTGTTGGATCTGCATTACCACTTTTCGAAAAATGAAGTTAAATCATATACCATTTGCTGCCGTTTATCGTTTGCTTTCTTTTTTCACATGGTGCACTTTGTTTTTTATGCATAGAAAATGTGGGAGGAGTTGGCCGTCCATCTCAACCAGTGAGAAAGAGTGAGGGTTAGGTATTCAGTTTGTTGTGTTGGATTGTTCTCGTGAAGTAGCATTTGTTTGTATTCGGCACAGTTTGAGAGGTTTTGACTGAAAGCCAGAATTTCTTTGGCTAGTATCAAACTACTTGCAGGACCACATCAAAATGTGTAAGAGTTCCCCACCAAAAGAGATGAGATACTAGTTCAAAGCTTCAAAGTACTCCATTGCTAATCACGAGATTATTGCTTAAGATGATGCAATCAGAAGTTTAGAATGTAACCTGAATCCATAAACATTACATATTTAAATTCAAAATGCTACATTAACCAGAGACTTCACATCATGTAGATTCGGTTTAGTCTGTTAGTAAATTCAACTATGTTAATCAAATTATACAGTGGTCGTTGAGGAGGATGTCAGACACGTTTTACCCAAGAACAGTGCCTGTTTTGTTTGGTTATATTCTCATTTGAGGAAGATAATAGCTGCCCCATTTTACGGTGAGAAAAAAACAGAACAATAGCGAAGAGATAAAGCGATAGGCATGAAGCGATTGGCAAGAATTTTTCGGGTGACATGCAGATGGTACCAACCTATCAACTTTCTAGGATCAAGTAATGTTATTTACATATACCAACACCAGCGTACTTCTCTATGAGTCATAGCTAACATTTTTCGCCCCATCAACTTTTTTAAATGGTCCAAATTCTATGAATACCCTCACATGGTTTAAATTATTCCTTCAAGAATTATATAACGATCTCACAGAAGCTTGTGTATAACACGTTAAGATAGATACAAATTTCATCCGGGGCATTGCTGAATATTTTACAGACATAAGTACAACTGGGACAAAGGGCACAACCATGAGTCAAGCTCTTAGTCATAATTGCTTTGGATCTTTTCATTATAACATTTTTCTACACACTTTATGCATAGCTGCTGTGGAACTGAATATATAGGGTCCCCAAAAAATTGGACCACTTGAATACCGGTTATACATCCATGAATTTTCTCCAGTTCAAAATATAGTAGCAGTAAGAATGTTTTCGTCTCACGATAAAAAAAAAAAAAAAGAGGGTTAATAATAAACCATATATGCTCAAGCATAAGAATTAAACAATAGATTTACAAAAAATAAAATGCTATTTTTGTAAAGCACACATAATTCTCAGTATCGGCAAAAGCAAAAAAATTGCCGACTCTACAAGGTTGGAAGAATAGGAACACATCGAATGCTGAATTAGGGATGAACTAATATGAAGAATTTTCAATGTTGCAAATTGTAAGTAGTAGAAGCCACTAACATGAGAGAAAAGCTATTTGGGTGAAATCTGTGGAAATAAATCCCTAAGCTAATTGCACCCAACAAAAGAATTCCGAGTTAAAGCTATTATCATCTGAAGCATGCAATAAGTGCATCATGACAAAGGCACCAATACTCTTTGACGGGCAAGGACATCCATGGCAATGGTGAAGGAAGAAAAGTTCCGCGCATAGATGGCATTCTGCCCAATGAGGAAGTAAAAAGAAGAAATACAAAAGTGGAAAAAAAAGAGTGTTATTAAATAAAAACTAAGCAAAGAATCAGAGAAACAGGAAGGAACATCAGAATATCTCACCTTTTCCCAATGAGGATTCCATAAGCTACAGAGGAGATGGAAGACCCAGAAACTCCCAAAAATACATTTTTGTAGTGAGGCAAGATAACTTTTCCTGAAATTTAATCATTCGAGTAAGCACATATTGTTTGCCCATGCAAAAAAACAGCAGTGGTAATGCAAATTGTTACTGATCCCAGGTCACAGCTATCACAATCAAGAAGGGGGGAAAGTCTGATATCACAATTATGTCTGCACCTACGATGTGTTGTTTTTACCTTGATATGCAACCAGGCAGAGAGGAACTTACCACAATAAAACTAAAGACAGATCATCACTGCCTGATTTACTACGATACACATCATCACAGATAACTCACAAAAATATTATATACCCAAAAAGTAAAAGCCCCCAGGCATTAACAGAGCAAGTCTACACATTTTGATAAAACATACCTACACATTGACCAGATGATGTCACACAATAAATTTCACTATTAATCAAGGTAGATACATATCTCGAAAACCAAAAAGAAGAAACCAAATGGAAGCATCAGTCTGAACCCGCAAGTAATAGCTTCAGGCCTCACCTATGCTCAAATAGTTGCTGTGGAGAATTGACACCAGAATACTAGATTTTTCTCTATTCAAATCCTTTAGATGCAATGATTCCTTGGATGAGGTCATTTCATCAGCAAATTCAGCACTTGGGGGAACAGTACAATCATTCTGACAACCAACAATTTCAAGCCATATTCCAGAAGGGAATCTTCCTGGTCTCACCAACCAAAGAAATATCTTGATATACGGTGTAGCATGAATTACCGAAATAGTAACTTCAATCAGTACGCAGACAAGGTTAATGGTTGTGTCCACGATACTAAAGAATATATAGAAAACTGAAGTAGTTGGTAACAGAAGTAAAAGTGGCGTAAATAAAAGAGATCCAACAATATGTTGCTTCACAGTGTAGTCAAAGCTATCCAACCTCTGCCTAAGTGGATTCCACTTCCGCCCCCTGCCAAAATGGACAGCAACTTCATGAAAAGAACTGAGAAGGAAGAGCATGTATCCAAATATTTGTGTATCTCTAACAACTATTCTTCAAAAGGATACTCAATCCCAAATAAAGAAGTGCAGCAAATATGATGGCTTTCAGGAAATACAAGGGACTCTCATGATCTTCACTTCTATCATAAGTTATCTTCAAATTTACAAATGCTTCAACTTCTTTTCAGCTAGCTATAATTGGTTCTTGCTTCCTAAACTCACCACCAATGTTTTCAGAGATATATTATAGCTAACGTATAAGGGATTATCTGCATAAAAAAGTATAGTTCTCCATAGGTAAAAGGACAAATGTGACCCACGAGATGACCTCACTATACTAGCATCTATTTGGTTAGTACTTAGTATATGTCTCTCCACCTTGTAATTGTCTCAAAAAAATGTGTCATGCAGACAAAAACCTCTTACGTCAACAACTTATTAAATTGTCAAAAACCAATCATATTGGAAAGCTCCATTTACAAAACTAAGACCAAATTATGATGTTCAATTCTCATTCAAATCAATACCTTACTTTTAGCTAATCATCTCAAAAGAACCAGTATTTGTTACCTGAAAAGCCGCCACAAGGCTACTAAAGCCTGTATCTGTGATGAATATACAAGTGAAATCAACCAATGGAGAGTTGAAACATGTAAGGTCCCCAACGCAATCATGTCTATGATCAAAGCAGCAGATGTAGTAAATCCACAAAGAATTCCCAAAATAGAAAGTCCCCGAATAATATAATTGAAGATGAAACCCACAAAGATCCAGAGTGTTGACCATATTTGTATTGCATTCAAAGAAACCATGCCAAGTACACCTGCCAGCTCAGCATTCAATTTGAAGCCTGCAGGGTTCCCCATTAACCAAACACACCCGGAACGCAAAAATGTGGCAAACCCATGGATAAAGTTCAAAATTGACAAACTAATGGATTCTGCATGATATAGCATTGCCCAGCCAACCAAGTTTCCCAAGAGAATATCAACAACCAAAGTTGACCACAATGAATGCCTATGCATTGCAGCTTTCTCTGAATATTCAACACACGACTGTGACCTTGCACACAAAAGAATGGTTTTTTCCACAAAAATAAGCTAAACATTTAATTTTAGGAGATAAATTCAAGTTACAGTTATCAAAAAATATCACCATGAGTAATGGACAACATAAGCTGAGAGAAAACAAGGAAGAGGTAAAAACAAAATGTCACCTATAAAGTTTTCAACTTCAACCAAAAAATTTGTTTCATACTAAACCATATAGTGCATTGAAAACGAGGACATCCCTGGTCAAGTTCAGTTTGATACTTTGGTTTGAGGCTCAAACACAAACTAAACCAATTCTTCATATCTCACGAGTTTCAAAAACTAGACCAAACCATAAGTTCCCAAGGAACTACATGAACCAAAACTACCAAAACAATGCTCTAGGTTTGGTTCAGTTTCAAAGCATAATTTATTGATGTTTCATGTCATAATAATACCTTCTCAGTTTTTAATACACACAAAAGCTACTGCCCTATAGAAGGAAAAATTTAAAGCAACAATAAACATAAATGCTATAGTCCAATGAAAATAAGCAATATAATTCCAACAAATCATATATTATATTTATAATATAAATAAAATCCTGCATGTGTAACATATTGATGTGGAATGCATTAAGGAAGGGAGAGGAAGGGGGAAAAGCAGAGTAGAACAAGGGAAAGAATAGACATGAGTGAGAAACAGAATAGTGATGCTCAATTCTATCTCAAAGTCAAGTCAATAAATCTCGAAGTACATAGCAATCCTGAAGTATAAAAACCTAGCTTGACATACAACTATAAACCACTCCCCATGAAATCCCGATTTGCAAGGTAGATGTTACGGCTCTGGATTCTTTAGGTAGTGGATTTGGTATTACAAAAAGACAGAATGAAAGAAATCAATGGAAATGGAAGGAAAAATCTGTTTATTGATGAGAAAATCAAATGAACACACGAGACGCTTCTCTTGCCAAGGGGCATTCCCCTCCAACTGAGCCCTCAGCCTAACAATAATTGTCAAAAGCAACTTCTAACCAAAAGCAGATTCCCTTATATAGTTGGGGAAGTTAACTACTCGTAACTGCCTATCCTCTTAGTTAACTAACTAACCACCTCCTAGCTTTCAAATCACTTGGTATATTCTTTCCAGAATATCCTTTCCCACTTAATACTAATCGTATCAGTAGAGGTGAGGGTTCTACTGAGGGAAATTCTTGTACATAACCTTATATTTCTTGTACATAACCTTATATTTAAATTTTTGCAAAGAGGTTGTTCTCTAAATTCGAGTGCCTGACTCCAACTTGATAAACAACTAACCAAGTAAATCACTAAAAACCCAAAATAAAACCCAAAAATACAAAATATTCAAAAATTATGATAAATTCTCAATATCTCTACACCCATTAATATTAATATTGACATTTTATATTCTGTTATTCCAATCCCATACCCCATCACATTTGTATATACAATATATGGTTGAGTTCATATGATTCGACCTAACCTCCCAAATTTTTTGTATAAACTGTAAACTGTATGGTAAAGAAACTGAATTGAACCACAGTTGGATTTGGATTCAGTTTAACCAGATTAGTTGGGTTCGGCTTCTTGAACACCCCTAACGGAAAACTTGTCCTTTTTAAGAAATTAAATTACTCGGTCTTCATCAAATATTAAAGCCTGATATCTCCAAATTTTGAAACCTGCCACAAATAAGACAATTCACATATTTTACCAAATATTCATATTACCTGAGGTCATTCTCCTGAAGAAAGATTGGCCAATATAATATCTGACAACAACGGATTTGGATATTTATCCATGCAGTCTTCCTGAATACATTTGCTGATGTCACATACACCCATGATTCTGATACATAATTAACACGTGTTTGGAAAAACTGAAGAACAATATAGAACATAGTGGAGAATGAAGCCATAAACTTCGAAAACAGATGCCCCATGACATCAAAAAACCTGAAAAGTCACAACATAGATCATCAGAGCCTGAAGATCAAGAGAGCAAGAGATGATGTATCAATAATTGAAGTGCATACATGGGAAATATGGACAGCAGCCTCAAGGATCTTCTTGGAACTACATGTCCCTCAAAAAATCTTTTAGCAGCAGCAGTGCAATTAATTGCCAGAATAACTGTATCCTGGGGTGAAATTTGAAAAGATGTATTAGCAACTTGGATAAAAATATGCATATACAAAAATGAATAAGGTAAATTTCATTACCAATTCAATGAATTGCTGCTTTTCATGAAGCTCATCCACCCACTTAGGATTCTTAATGGAAGTTTTTGCTTGCTCATTGGAACCCGAATGAGACAATGAGAAATGATGAGCACCATAAAAGGGTGTTTCATAAATTATTACCTACAATTGTTTAAAAATCATACATGTATGTTTGAGGGATAAAAGTATTGACAAATGACAACTACTTGCAGAAAGGCAAGAAGTAGAAGTAATTATGACTTACATACGTGAACATCATATTGTGACACAATTAGTCCATTCCAATGAATGTGGTGTAATTTTGGAAGCCCGTGTATTCCTGCATCATTCTGCTCAGGAGAATCAAACATCAGCAGGACCCAATTACTTTTTCCAATAAAAGATTGGCTAATTTTCCTCAATGATCCATCTAATTGGAAGGAACTGCAGCTCCTACAGTTATTCTCTATGTATTCACTTGTACTTCCCTCTGCCCAAGCATTGCCAAAATCAGGGAACTTTTTTTTATCATCTTCTGTTTCAGCTATCAAACTATTACTAGTAGGACCAGTGATACACAGACCAAGTACAGAGAACATGGACTTATCCTGAAGAATTGTGGGCATGCTCCCATGTGTGTCATGAATGATCCCCTGATAGAAAGTAGCAGTTCATAATGTTAGTTATTCTCATTACACAAGACCATTCCAGAAACCACCTAAGATGACTTGTATGAAAGAATCATAAGAGGACTTAACAGTGGGATTTTTCCCGCCACTATCACCACAGTCATACTGTCAATCTGTCATACAACCAAGATTTTGATGACCAACAAAAAAAATAGTTATATACCATCTCAAGTGAATTGATGTCCGTTGGAAACAATTTCTTTTCTCATTAAACTTTATATGTTTTTTCCACAAGTTTGCAAATATGTAGGCATAAATTTTATACAGATGGACCTAATATTAAGGTAAAAATCAGTCAAGATACTGATACCCTACTGGGTATTCTAAGAGGGAAAAAGTTAATTTCTATTTAAACTTGACAACTCTTGCAGTATCTTGACCACAACATAAAATTAATTAATATCACAAAAAAGGGAACCCAAAATTTCCTCAGCAATTAATAATTCTAACAAGCAAACAACCAATCATTTCATTGCTGCTATTGTCATTTCATTCGCTTTACACTAAACTGCATGGAAGGGACTGTGAACTCAAATACAGTTTTATACCTCGAGACCAGGACAAGAGCTAGAAAGCAAGACTTCACTGCAAGTAAACGCTACAACAATGTCAAGAGATGTCGGAGAGCAGGTGACAAACCACCCCAGTAAAATACTGGAGGATGATTCTTGATTTGATAAGAGCTGCTTTGGCCACCAAAGCCTACAATGTCTTCTCATCTTAATCTTATGATCTTCACGTAAATAAGTTATGAATCATGAAGTCCCTGCAATGGACAGAAGCAAGCATTTGTTTACTCCATTAAAAATTCTCAGGTTAAAAATAGATGCAAATTAAAAATTAATTTATGCAATATATTAATAAAACTTGAAAAATATTTAGATGGAAGTATAGGTTATCTTATATGCTTTACTTTCCTCTTTTAATTTCAAAGCAATATTCAATCAGGAATTACACCTCATAATATCAAGAAATAAAGTCAGTCAACAGAGAAACTATCTCTGAAATCTATTTGACTGAACAAGGTGAGAGTCTCAATAATTTAAAAAAAAAAAAAAGGAAAATTGCATAAATTTAACATAGAAGTTTCAAATTATACAGCATAATTTCATATTAAGAAAATTTAGTACCGTGCAACAAAACAACACAAAATCTTTAACAAATACAACAACAAAATTCCAATCATCCCCTAGCCGGAGCGGCAAAACATCAACATATACAGAGAATCAAAAACATAAAAACAACCTGTCCATAATTTCCCGGAATCTACCATTTATTATGTACTTACAAAGTATGCGCTTTCCATAATTTTCCATCTAAAAGCAGCATCATCATATTAATTTGCAGGATTTGTGATAATTAAAGGTTTATGTTTGGACTCAAAAAATGATCTTAATAATAGAAAGCCTTGGCACAACGGTTGATATTGTTACCATGTGACCTAGAGGTCAAGGTTACTCAATTCGCCTCCTAATCTGCCTACTACCCACACATGAGTCTAACCCTTCCTTGGACCTTGCGTATAACAAGGACTTTATAGCACAGGTTGCCCTTGTTAGGTGGTATTATTTCTGTTAACCATATTACCGACTTAGGCCCGTTAGAGAATATGTACAAGGTCTCATATCTGACAGAATAAAGCCATAAAGTTTCTTATTTGAAAACATATTCAGAAAACACATTAAGAAACATTATCAATGTTTCCAAGGCTATCTAACAGCTTATCTAAGCAAATAACCTTTTATGTGTTAACCTCAATTATATATAACCTATGAAAAAATAACACAATAACCCTAAACCTATCAATAGCTAGTTAAATTCTAGTTAACCAAATGCTGTAAACAACATCCTTTTTCACTTTCTCGAGATTTTGGATATAAAAATTTTACAACAATGTTAAGCAAAGACTAAAACAAGAAAACCCGAATAATTGGATGGAACTAGGTCAATTACTGAAGCTGGCTAAATTAACACTCAACAAAGGATCTGTGATTGCCCTAGGTAGGGTTTGAAGGTTCCAAATGGTCGTAGCTACAAGCAAGGCATGGGGAGATGCATTGCCATAAATGGATGCTATGCATTTCAAAGCATTGCAAAGAAAAAACAAAGAGATAAGGTGATTACAAACAAGTATAATCTCTGTAACTGTAACTGAACACAGAGAGAGAGAGACCTGAGTTGCAATGATGTACCACCGTCGAGTTCGATCGCATCAGCGGCGGAAAAAACGACGGCCGGCAAGGCGGCGCTGACCACCGGAGGTGAGAAATGGACAAGAGCGGACACTGATGCAAGGGAGTGAGCGTGAAAAAGATAAAGACAAGATAAAAAAAATTAACCTGTTAAAATGGATTTTTAAGTTCAATTTTTCTAATTAATTATTTTTTCAATCAACATCAATAATATATTTTATTTCAAATTAATTGGGACCAATGAATTAATTAATTTTTCAATATTTTTAATAAACAAATGCATCGTACCGTTAATTCTCTGTTTACATCTTTAACTTTCTTTTTCTTTTTTTGAAAACTATCTTTAACTTTCTTTAGCTTTACTCAAACTATTTGGTTTTGAGTTGAGTGAAGTTATTGGGGAATGTTTGTAACACATTTTATATTTTTTTTTCATTGAATGAAGTTTGATTATAATCTTATTGAATAACTTGAAACCATTCTTTATTAATAAGATTCATCCATAATTATAAAAAAAAATACTAAATTTCAATAATTATTGATTTCCTTAGACAAAAATTTGAAATTTAAATTCTGCGAATAAAGAAAATAGTATTAAAAGATGACCGTGAATATGAATTTAATAATGCTCAGTCGAAATAAATTGATTTAGTTAAAAATATATATTAGGAATACAGTATCAAAGAATAGATATTAACTTTTTTAAAAAAAATTAGCATAAGCAGTCATGCACAGCCCAAATTATTTAAATTTAGATGCTTACGAGAGTTAAATTTATATTTAATAAAAAATATTTATATATATTTAAATTAATAATATTACAAAAAATGTACAAAATATTTTTAAAAATAGTGCAAAATAAATTAATCTAAATACACTAATAATATTATAAAATATATTAGAGATATTCATATGTAAAATTTAATAATTATATAACTTTATTTTTTAAAATAATATTTAGATGTATTTTAAACTTTACACACATATAAATCATTATATTTATTTTCACATATTAAACAATTCGATTTTGTTTGTTTGAATAATGAAACTTATATTCTATTTTTATTTTATTTTTTGGATAAACAATGGGTATTCTATACAGAAGGCAATTTTGTTCGAGGCGGATCTAGAATTAAAGTTTTAAACATCTCTCAAATATGGTAATGAAAAGAATGAACACATGTCTTCATCCTCACTTGCTCAGTTTTCATGCACCAATTGAACTACTGTTATATATACTTCTATTCTATTTTGTTTTATCTTTTAAGTGGCAATCCAATAACAAACAAAATTTTATTTCGAACTAAAATCAATTTATTATTATTTGGACCACGTGGCAGAGATTTAGTATTTATTGAAAAACATTTTCTCTTTCTAAAAGAGAAAATCTTTCTACTAGTGACTCAAAGTATAAGTGCAGTCTACAAAATAGTAAAGAAAAAAAAAATTAAGGTGAGACCCACTTATATTATGACTCACTACTAAAACAAAAAATTTCTCCTTTTAAAAGAGAAAATGTTTTCCCAGTATTTATTATAATAAAGTAGAGATGGTCACTGTTCGATTTTATATAGAAATTGAACTGAATCAAACCTGTTTTAGCGACTTGGTTTAGTGATTTGGATTTGGCAAATCAAATCCATTTTGGCTCTGAACCGATTCTAAGGTAAAAAATAAAATAAAAAATAAAAAATTTAGTACTTAAGGTAAAAAATTATTTCATTTTTTCTTCTGGCACTAATTCTAATAAATTGATTTTGTCCAGCAAGCTGGTTAGTTCAATTTTTAAATTAATCATGTAAAGAATCAATTCAACCTAAAATTTTAAATTGTTGGGTGATGCTACATTAATGATTTTTTTATATTTCTCTAACACACCTCTTCATACGAGAGCTCACTGGCCTTGAAGAGTGGACAATACACAGGCCTACCTACCTGTGCTCATAAACTCCACATTACATAATTATTTATTAACTGAATGAGAGCAGTGAGAATCAAACCCGTGACACCGAAGCTCTAAAACCATGTAAAGAACCAATTCAACCCAAAAGCTTAAGCTTTTGGATCTTTTGGGTTGAATTAGTTTTTTACATGGTATCAAAGCTTGTGTTCTGGGAAACCTCGCTTCCGTAGAAAAACCTTGTCGTATGTCATTCTGGCAAGTAATCTGTGTCATGCATCATAACGACGACCCACTCCTCAGTTGGTCACCAACCGCTTATCCTCAACCTCGGATCGTCAGAAAAACCATCGTCAATCATCGTTCATCACCGAAAACCATCGTCCACCACTGTTCACCGCTGCCGGAGCACTTTTTGAGCAGATTTTCGGCAATCAGCTGTGCGACCAGGACCGGCTCGAGGAGGATGCGACCCCGTATGTCCAAGCTGCACCATCACCAGAGCAGCCACGCGCCGTGGAAGATTCCGACGACAGCACCACTTTTTCGATGCATGAGCCGCTGTTCCAGACTAGACCACCACCATCTTGCTCGCTTTCTCGTCCTCTTTCCCAATCTAGTCTCCGCTCGTTGTGGGTCCCATCTGATAGGAATATTTTGGCGAAAAACTCATTTTTTTGGACACTCTTTGCAACATTTTCGCGGGATTTCTCGCTTCCTTGTTATTCTCCGATCATCTCTTTTATTTTTGCTGGTTCTTACATCTGATTTGTGATGAAGGACTCAAGTAATGTGATCAAAAATACTACTAGATTTATCTCCAGTATTGTCCCATCCAATACAATGATGAAATTAACCGAATATACTATTTTCAAGACTTGGTCTACCTCTGTTAAGATATTGTTTACTGGTCAGGGACAATGGAAACATCTCATGACCAAGTTTGCTGATATTCTCAAGGATTAGAAATCTAATTGGTAAAAGATTGATGTCCAGCTCCTGAGTATTTTTTTGGCAATCCATTGATCCGACAATTATAGATATTTTCATCGCCTTTGAGACCTGCTAAGACGTATGAGAGGAAGCCAAAAGGCTCCACACCAACGACATTTGGCAACTTTACTCTATTATATCTTAGATAATGGAATTGCGCAAATCACCATATGCTCGAATGGAGGCTTATATTGGTAAGATTCGTTCTTTGATGCAAGAATTCTTAGCTATGTTAACTCATGCTACAGATGCTTCTGAGTACAAGAAGCAGGTGGAGCGCTTCTTTATTGTTGTAACCCTTTCCGATCTTCTAGAGGAATTAGAAAATGTTTGTGAGAATATTCTAGTCAGTGCTAAGACTCTTAGCCTGTCACAGACTTTCCAGTGTCTTCTGAACCTTAAAGATAAAGCAACACCCGCACATGTTCATGTGCCAGCCACCGATTCAATTGCCCTCATTTCTCATGCCAATGATTCCAATTGGAACAGTAGACATGGTCGCCGACAGAGGCCTCGTTGAAATTATTACCAGATCTTGGACACATTGAAGAGTGTTGCTACAGGAAGTACCCTCACTTGAAGCCACCAACTACCTACTTTGTTCAAACCGATGCTACACCACCGTCTACTGGATCGATAACTATTTCAAGTGCAGATTATGAGGCTACATTAAATTGTTGGGTGAGGCTACATTAATGGTTTTTATATTTTCTAATACGTTCCCTCATACGAGAGCTCACTAGGCTTGAAGGGTGGACAATGCATACGTCCACTATCTGTGTTAACAAACTCCACAAAACTTGATTACTTATTAATTAAATGATGGACGGTGGGAATCGAACCCGTGACCACGGTTCGATACCATATAAAGAATCATTTTAACCCAAAAGCTTAATTTTTGGGTGAGGCTACATTAATAATTTTTTTTATATTTCTCTAACACATTAATAATTTTATATTTCTCTAACATATCCGAAAAATGTAATTTTTTTAAACGGTTTGGTTTAATTTAGAAACCAATTTGTTTCTTTTTGAATTTTTTTTATACATTTCCATAATTAAGTGGATGTTTTTCCCTCTTAGGGTATAATTAATGAAAATGACAGTGCATGATTATGATGCATATTATTTTTGTTTGACATGCTATTAGTGGGGTAGAGCTATTATTGGATATCCTCTAATTAATCTTGATTTGGCCACATGAAGAACAAGCCATGTGCGCTAGATTGATTACTAGGAGATTTTGCATGAATGCTTCTTGTTTGCTCCATTATCACCAGACACGGAACATGATTTTGTTTCTTCAAAATCAAAAGAATGAGAAAGGAGAAAACTATAATGATATGCGCTATAATAATTGATGAGGTTTTGATTATTGTTCAATTCAAATGAATGTAACCTCAATTGGTTTGGATATTGAATTTTAACTTCTCTCAACTTCAACCAACCTAATTATAATAACTTTTTATTTGTTTAAAGTTTAATATTAAATAATATTATTGTATTTACAAAATTATATATGATAATTTTGGTTACTTATTAAAACAATCAAAGTTGTAAACCAATTCATCTAACCCTGACTAGGGGTGTCAAAACGGGTTGACACGACACGAATTCGACACGACACAAATACATCAACACTAACACGACACGAATTTTTATTCGTGTCAAAATCTTCAACACTGACACGACACAATTTTTTGCGGGTTGACACGACACGAATAACACGCAAAATAAGGGTCAAAACGGTAATTGACAAAAAAAAAATTAAAAAATAGATCGAAATTAAAAAAAATTAAAAAAATAATAATAAAAAATTAAAAATAAAATAATTTTAAAAAAATACGGGTCGACACGAAGACGAATACATCAACACGAACACGACACGAATTTTTTACGTGTCATTTTTCCCAACATGAACACGACACGAATTTTTTTGCGGGTCAACCCGAACACGAATTTTCGTGTCGTGTCGCGGGTCGACCCGCGTGTCAAAACCTATATTGACACCCCTAACCCTGACCATCATAAGGGTAGTGTTGGTTTAGGTTAATACAATAAATTTCTCTTAATTTCAACTCAGTCCAATTCAACTATTTTTTTAGGTTTAATTTTTATTTTTATTTTTATTCAAAACGAACTTAACTCAACCTATTATCACCCATAATATAAAGTAACGGGGGAATAATTTTATTTTCTAC